CAAAAAAAGACCTTGTGCAATCTCATGCAAGCAGTGTTTAGAGTGTGGCTCCGGGGAAGTGATTGGATTATCACAGCTATGATTTTATAAATGGATAAATTCTTTGCTGGGTTCAGAGTAGGTAGTTGGTGGGATCGTAGCAGGTGGGCCTGATTGGAGTAAATATGTCACTAAGAGGCTGGCCCTGGAAGAATTTCTTGTCCTCTCTTTCTGTACCCTGATTCCTGGGCACCTCACGGTGAATTACCTCTTCACATGCTTCTGCCATTATCTTATTCTTCTTGCCCTTAGGCCCAATGTAATGTGTAGTCAACCTGTGATGGACTAAAGCCTTGGCAACTGTGAGCCTGAGTAAATATTCCCTTAGCATAGTTGCATTGGATTTAGTGAGGAAAATCCAACACAGTGACCAGCTTAGCACAGCCAGAAAAGCAGTTACAAGCTTTGAATGATGCTATTTAGTTTTTTTTTATTTTTATTCTCCCCAACTGTAATACCAGAAGCCTTTTTAAAAGGCATGTCGACTTCAAATCTGTGCAAATCACTGTCGTCTGAAATTATTTGAGGCTTGATGAAGACATACTTTGAAATAACTATGTAATATATGTTTATGTATATGTAATTTAATCATAAGTAACTATAAAGGCATATACTTTTAATATGAGTCTTTTATATGATAGGAAATTTGAATAATATCATGAGGAGAAATGACTTAAAACATTCCTTTAAATGCTTAAAGATGAAAATTACATTCATCTTGGGAAATATAAAATATATCGAACCATAGATGAGTTAATAATCCTTTTTAGTTTTACATAACCTTTTTAAAAGAGTATAATGTAAAAAGTTATAGCATTTGAATTAAGTGATTTTTTTTCTTGTTCTCTAATAAAAAATGGAGAAGATTTAATACAAGAGATTTAACAGAACAGTGCTCTGCAGTTTACTTAACGCTCCTGGATCATTCTCATGCAGCTTGACTGCCCTCTTCAGGCTCGTGAGCACACTGGGACAATTCATGCTGTTCCCTCAGTTCCCTAAGGTTGAACCCTCATTTTCCTATGGGCGTCTCTCCCCGATGGTACTATTAAAGGTGTGGTTATTTGTGTCTGAGCTCCTGGTGTTTGTGGCTTTCACTTTTTATTTTGACTAGCAGTCAGGAATGCAGTATGCTAATACACACTAATAATTGTGTGTGCTTTCAGTATAAACTGATAAATGGGCTAGGCTCCACTGATTTTTTTGTTGTTGTTCTTAGGTTTCTTTAATTCCCTGTTTAGAAGTTAGAATAGTAGTGGAAATAGAAGATAATTGGCTTTACATCTTTGGACACATTTATTTCTGATTAATGACTTGTACTTTGAATATATAGCATTAGTAGTACATATTTATGAATTTTATTTTTTCTAGTTTTGTTTTAGAGATAGATTTGTTCCTTGGAACTATTTTTACTCAATGTACCCAAACAGGAGAAAGCCTTGTTTATTTTGTCAATATTACCTTTGCTCAAAGTTTTGTATTTGAGTTTAGAATTGTAATTTGCTTTGGCTTTCATGGAATCTTTTATTCAGATTATAGATATTTCTGAGGATTAGTCTTAATATTTTTCCTATTGCTGTGATAAAATACCCTGAGAGCAAAGTAAGCCAGAAAGGGCTCAGTGTACAATCTGAGGCTGTCGTCTGTCTTTCTGGGGATTTCAATGCAGCATGATCTTGAAGCAACTTGTCACTCTGTGAAGTCCGAAGCAGAAAGCAGTTGAATTAATGAAGACTCATAATTCCATGCTACTAAGTTCAGCTTTCCTCTGTCCTTCCCCTCCTCCCCTCTTCTCTTTTTCCCTGCCTTCCTCCCCCTTCTTTCCTTCCTTCCCTCCCCGTTGCTTGTAGTTCTGGATGTAGAGTTCTCAGCTACTGCTCCTGTGCTATGCCTGTCTCCTTCCCACCATAATGATGAGGGATTAAACCTCTAAAAGTTATCTAATTTATCTAAGCCTCAAAGGCTTTCATCTATATGTTGCTTAGTCATGGTGTCTCTTCATAGCCATAGAACAGTGACTAATACACTCCCCTTTTCATTAGCCCAGGACCCTGTCCGGGAAACAGTGCTGCTCTCATTGAGAGTGAATCTTCCCACCTTCATTTTTCCAGTTATGAAAAGCCCTCAAAAGTATGTCTACAGGCTACACTTATCCAGATAATTATGCATTGAGATTCTCTTTCCAGGTGATTGTACTTGTATAAAGTCTACAATCAAAACTAACCATCTAAGGATTGTATAGAATTTTTAGTTGGATGTTGTGATCTTCTAGATTCCAAAGAAGAATATGTACAAGATAGGTCACATGATTGTATAATAATTTAGGAACCTGTGTTTTCCCATCTTGAGCATTTTAAATGGGCTCCAGACCTTTATCATAATGGCACTTGCCCTCAGACACGTGGTTATCTGACACAGCTCAGATACTGTTTGCAAACACACTCCTTTCAAAAGCTCCTGAAGCTGGTCACTGTTACAGAATGGAGCCTCACTCCTAGTTATCTTCTTAGTCTTTCCTTTCCTTGTTGTCTAGATGAGGCCTAGATTCTGTAGAACATAGGACACATTTGAGAGTGGCTCGTTTATGTGGTTTGCTATCTTCCTTCCTGTTAGTCTTGCTCATAGCTTTAGTCATTCGAACAGACTCGTTTGTCCCAGATGTTTCCACTGACCGTGCTTCTAATCTGTTTTCCCCATCTAGTGTATGCAATTGTAAGCCACATTTAAAACTGTGTTTCTTATTTCTGTGTTATGATTGTGTATGTCTGCTCCTCTGAGGTAGACAGTGTCAGCCATTTCTCTTTGTTACTGCAGCATCTACTTAAAATGCTGAATATAAACATATTTATGTTTTAAATTCCACATTTGCTTATAAAATTGACATTAACATGTCTCTCAATGATTTATTCACTATCATGGTGAGAGTCATAAATGGCATTCATTTTTCAAGTAGCATACATTGCTTTTGTCCTGTTAGTGTCTCTTGTTGATGGTTTGCTCTTTTGAAGACAGTACAACTTGGTGTTGATCTGTAACAAGACTATTTGGGCCCTGATATCTCTGGTGTTACCACAATGCCCCCCCCCCCCACATTTCACTGTGTAGTTATAGTTTATAAAAATAAAGTGAACCAAGTATTCAATGAAACCAACTTAAATGAGAATAATTATATTATTTTTATAGTGAGATATATAAAACGTTCAATGTTCTTTCCCCCTAAATAGAGTGAAATATGTGACTTTTAGTCACATCCCACGATTGAGAATCTCTAATGCAGATGAATTTTATCTTAAAAAAAAAAAGTCAGGGAGGAAAGAGTATTATTCAGCATCACTAACAGCAGAACTTGGTAAAAGTTCCAGGTTCTACCCCTGGACAGAACTCTACATCCAAGTGGAACAGTTAATGTGCATGCAGCAAGTCCTTCTTCGCTTTTGTGGAGGGTTGCTGTTGCAGTCAGCAGCATCAGCAAGCTTACAAGGGTAGACTTGGAAGTGCCTTTCAAAAGACATGGCAGATTTGTACTGCCTTTTGAAGGAAGAGAGGGCTTTCTAAACAAAATGTCTAATGCATGTTGTAAGAATGACCATGACATTTTTGTGAAGTAGACCAAATGTGTTATGTTTCTAGAGCTGTGGTACGGGTGTGGCTAAGGTGTGGAGGATTTTGTAGTGGATTTACAATGTGATTGTTAGAAAATTAACTCTAGAAAAAATAGAATGACAATGGTGCAGAATTTAAAGGTAGAGAGAACTCACCTTTGATTCCTTGGTTTATTAACACAGATTTATTAAGAAATCTTCAGAGAACTAGAAATTATCTGATAGTTTGTGTTTGTGTAAGAGCTCCCTCTAGAATGTAAGCATCTTGAAGTCAAGGGTTTGTCATTTGTCATTTGCACATTGTTTTTCAATTTGTATGGATTTATTGATTGAACTGTGAGTACACATATGCATATTTAATTGACTGATATACGTGGACCAACTTAAACATGATATAGAGAAATCTGAAATGCCTGTTTTAGGATGTTTCATCAGAAGCTATTGTATACACAGATGCTGAAAAATCTAAAATATTATTTTATCCCTTGCTTTATTTTATATTGGTGGATTTCCCTTTTATTTTTCTCATTATCACAAGAATGTTACTTCTTAATGATTTTCCATTTTCCTAGGTTTGATATTCTATAACAAAATATTTTCTAATAAAATACCTGAATTTTGCAGTGTGTTTACATACTGTCTCAATGCCATCGCTTTAATACTATGGGCCTTGCATCCTTTATTTGCTGACACTGAGCCAGAGCCTGTTACTGTAGCTCCTCCATGTTTTCTCTAGATTTGATGGCCCTGTGTGTCTAGATATTATAATAGTCCCAAACTAAACTGATCTTTACGTTTTCTCCTATGAAAGATAAAGTTTAGCTCACCTTACCATTAGAATATTCCATTTGATGAACAGTAACAACACAGATAACATCATTGTGTTTCCTGACCCTTAATTGTAGATGATGTTTCAGGATTATCTGATTTATATACAAAAATTAATTAAGCACACCAATTCCATTACTTCTTATCCTCTACTTTGACATATCAAACCAACCCTCTTTAGTGTTGTAATATTTAGAAGCATTTGTAGCCTATACTATAAACAGTTAAATCTTTAAGCTTTGTATATATTGGTTAAAAAAATAGAAGGGATTCAGTACCATGCATATGAGTAAGTGTAACTGTATTGTAACTACATGTTCATGAACAATAAACTTGTACTCTAATGTACTTCCTTTTAAAAAGTATTTGTTGATCTTTTTATGCTGTATAGTAGTTTAGTTTGTATTTCATACAAGTATTAATGAGATGATGGTCCCTACAGTAATTGGTTAGCTCTACCCCAGAATTACTTGTTCTGTTGATGGCTCTGTTCATTGTACACTAAATTTTTTTGTCCCACTATTGTTTCAGGCAAGCTAATGAGGAATATCAAATCCTGGCTAATTCCTGGCGTTATTCATCTGCTTCCTGCAACAAACTGTTCTTTGGAATGGTGGACTATGATGAAGGAACAGATGTTTTCCAGCAGGTGAAAACTCTCTAGATATGATTTTGAAATGCGTAACTGCATTTGTTAGTTTTGATACATCTCGTCTACCACATAAATACAACTCACTGAGTAAATGAGTGAGCATAGTAAGTAATGTGATGTGTTTAAAGTAGAGTTCATATTTGGAGACTACTAATTCCATCATTACACAATTTTTGCCTTTATATTGTAGTAAAAGCATTTGCATTTTTATTTAGAGGAAATGTGCTTTTTAGCACACAGTGACAATATATGTGAATTAACCGTACTATGATAATTATGTATTGGTTAGGTTGTATTTCACACAGGCTTATGACATTTCATATAGTATAAGTTCAACATATAAGTTCAACACACATATGATATGTGTGTACATGTATATGTGCATGTGTGGATATGTGCGTACATGCATATCTGTATATATGGAAACAAGAAGTTAACACTGAGTATTTTCATTTTGCTCTCCATATTATTTATTGTTATTATGTGTACATGTGTGTGTGATCTATGTCTTGGTGTGCATGCCATAAATTGATGTTGATGTCAGAGGACAACATTGTAGAGTTAGTTCTCTGTTTTCACTGTTAAATTTTTTGGGACAGGAGGGAAGTTGGACTCAGGCTGCCTGGTTTGTACCATAAGGCATCTTCCTGATCCCTATTTATGTGATATGTTTATGAGATAGGGTTTTTCACTGATCCTGAGTATTGCCCGTTTGGCTTGTTTAGCTGACCAGCTGACTCATGGGGTCGACCTATCTCAAACCCCAGCCTCCATGCTTGGGCTGCAGACATGTGGTCCTGTGTTCAAGTACAGGTGGTCTGAGCTGAGGTGCCCATGCTTCTGTAATATGCACTCTACACACTTAGCTGCTGCCCGAGTTACTTATTTTCTACTCCAACAGATAGAATTTTATCTGTGTTTTCTGCTTGTGATGGCCTGGATCTCAGGCAGTGATGCAATTGTAAATCACCAGTGATCATGTGTGTGTGAGAGAACATTAAAGGACTTCCAAGGAGGGGTCACTAATCAAGTAGGACCGATACCTCTTGTGAGAATAGCAGGAGGGCAGGTGTGCAGAGTCAGACATGGGAAACCCAGCATTGAAACGGTCTCTTGAGAGCTAGGACCAGAAGCTTCCTCAGAAACCCAGCCTCGCCCTTCACCTAGATCTTACACATTAATCCTCAAAAATTTCAGAAAACAAACTTCTCTTAAGTCACCTACTCAGTTACAGCAACACGTGTAGATGCAGTCTTCTCAGTAGACTCCGCCTTGTACTTGGGCAGGAGGATGCTAGTCATCGCTGGTGGGACTGTCACCGTGAGTCCTGACCCGGACTTTTGACCAGCAGTGCACTCTGAGTGTTTCATATGTGTTCCTGAGTGATGCTGCCAAATGAAGCAGTCAGAAATGGTATTGTTGCCATGGTTATCCCTAGCCTAGAGTGGTAATCTGTTGACATGTGGAATAAGATACAGTGCTGGGACACAAACACGTTTTGTATCATCCTATGTGTGAGACTTTTGGGGGAGAAATGAAAATGAACATCTACTCCTCAGATCGGGAACTGATAACAGACCAAAATAATGATTCTACACAAATCCAGCTTGGGAGCCAGTGTGTTTATTGGGTTTCCTTAGGAGTATGGATAAGAGTTTGCTGGCATGAACAGGGATGATTTCCAGGGACGTCACGAATAAGTGATGATTCATAAAAGCTGCAAACCCCAAGCTCTTTGTATGACTTGCAGGCATTTCAGGAGGGTGGTGATACACAGTCTCCTGCAGACAGCTCCAAAGCCTATTCTGACAGCAGTTGCTTCCCGCTTTTATAACCTTCCCTAGGCTCTTGGGAATTCTTTAAGTTTCAGCTCTCCAGGCTTTTAAGGTTGTTTACTGCCCAGGTCTCACAAGCCTCCCTCTGTTCTCCAGGAGGTGTTATTTCAATTCAGAGAAGATTCCTATTCCTCTTTGACACATATATAAATACATATATGAAGCATACACAATTTATTGATGATATGATATGTGTTGTATGATATATGCTGTGGTATGTTAGAATTTGTCAGGTTTTTACCACATTATAGGAACTGGTTTTGTAATTTAGTTTTATAATGAACTTGTTCAAATTTCTATTATTTATGAAATGGTTGCTGTGGAGTTGCTTCTGCAGAGCCTTGTGCTGTAGTGGTAGTGTAGGGCGTGAAGTAGGACATCTGAGGCCACATTCTAGCTTTACCTCGTCATAGCTGAGTGATTTGAAGTTTTTATCGACTGTGCGCTATCTCTGGAGCAGGAGAGATAATGTGGGGGATTATTAGAGTGAGGTATTAACATGTGAAGATGCTTAGTTGTAGTCCCGAGATATGTTTTTACTAATTGCTATTGTATTGGTATAAGTTAGTAATCGTATTAGCATACATTTGTCAACCTCCTCACACTGCGTATTTTTGCAGATGTTGGCTAAATCTAAATTGTACGGCAAGAGTCGAAAGGCTAAACAAATGAATACTAAGAAAAGAAACAGAACAAAAATGTAATCTCCAGATATCTTTTAGGAAAATTAATTGCCTAAGTGCTGTCTTTGAATGTCCAGAGTAAGAATACCTCAGAGTGGGCAATTTAAAGTGAACCAAGTGTATAGACTCACAGTTACAAAGGACACAGAGACTAACACAACAGTGTCAGCAGCTTATGAAGAACTCCCTCTTGTGTAGCTGTGGGAGAAGAGCAGAGAGGCCTTTTATGTAGGTGTCCATCATGATGGTTCCACTTTTACAAGTGGCAATTTAAATTTAGCAGTGTGTGTGTGTGTGTGTGTGTGTGTGTGTGTGTGTGTGTGTGTTGAGAGAATAAACAGAAACCAGGGTAAACAGAGACCAAGCATCAAGCATTCCCTATCCGTCTGGAGCATTTACGGTAATGTGGTGGTAAATGAGAGTTTGATAGCATTCACAGTAGTACAAATGAGAAATATTTTATATAGATGTATTGCTTTTGAGACTTCAGTTTGTCTTGCTAAGCTGTGAATACACAGCTACAGGTAGCGTTTATTTACGAGCCAGGAGCTGTTTTGACTGGATTGTAAACATCATCATCCTCACAGCTAAGCGTTCAGGGCTAGCCTCACCTGTTGCCTGCTGTCTTCTACCAAGTTACTTGGTTGTGATTTCCATTCTCATTGAGTGAATCTCTTTGCTTTTTCTCTTAAGGTCTTTTAAATTTTATCCCCAGATATCAGAAATTTAATACATTGATATTGTAATTAGCTCTTTTATCAAATACCCTTTTATTTTCGAATATATTTTTAATAAACACAAGATGCAGTGTTTTCTTTCTTGTATTTTATGAGTAAGAATTTTCTTTATAAAAGTTTTTCATGCTTTAGACATTTTGACATAACTTATTAAGAACTTGAATAGAACCAGACTATCAATCATTTTTCTTATCTCTTATATATTCAAGTTGTTTATAACAAAAATACTTGTTGCTTATTAACCAACAACAAAGGCTAATTTTTAAAATTTTAATAAGAAATATGCCTTACTTGTAATGTTCTTGAAATGAATTTTTTATGCACCTCCATTTCTGCTCTGTTTGTAGTAACTCCTCCAGAGTGGAGTGCTCCACCTGCTGACAGCTCACAGGTTCCCCATGTGCTCCCACTTCTGCCCTGCTCCTGCAGCTGCTGCAGAGTGGCGTGCTCCACCTGCTGGCAGATCTCAGGGTTTCTGTTTGCACTTCCAGGCATTTTGCATCTTTTTTTTTTTTTTATCATAAAAGTGTAGAGAGACAAGAAAACCGAGTCAAAATATCAAATTGGGGACATGAATGGTATGTTAAACGTGTCAGTTCGGACAGCGTAAGCAAATTGAGCCCTTCCGCTTCACTAAATTGTGTATCAAGATGAATAAAAGTAGAATTTAAACTCGAGAAAGCCATGCAGACTTTCCTAATAAATTCTTTCCTCTGAATTTTCAAATAAGAGCACGTAAGATGTTGATGAATGACACGGAATATTCTGGTGTTGTTACAAATAGCATTTTATCACTTGCTTTACAGCTCAACATGAACTCTGCTCCCACATTCATGCATTTTCCCTCCAAAGGCAGACCCAAGAGAGCAGATACTTTTGACCTTCAACGAATTGGATTTGCAGCTGAACAGCTAGCAAAATGGATTGCAGACAGAACGGATGTCCATGTATGTTTTTGCTCAGTACAGTAAATATGTGTATGTGACTATGTATTATACGTACACTCAGATATGTTTATGTTGATGAGCTTGGTTTGCTAGACTGTTGTAATGAAGCAACAGGATTTCTTTTTTTGCTTTTGTTTATCTGTGGCCTTTTAAAACTTTTTCTGCTTAAAGAAAATTTTGTTTTTGCCATGCTAGATTGAACCCAGGACCTATGTAGTCTGAATATCTGAATATATATTCTACTATTCAGCTACATTCCCTGCCCGTGAAACCTGGACTGAGTAGCTGCTCTTACTAGTTCCTTACAAGAAATACTAGAGGCCTAGAGGATAAGAGCCCTTACTGTTCTTAGAGAGGGCTAGAATTAAGGGTTTTTAATTGCTTTATTGAGCTATATATTGTTTCCAGTCCCCTCCCTCCCTTCCCACACCTCTTTGATCCTCTCTCATGATCCTCATTATCCCAATTTACTCAGGAGCTCTAGTCTATTACTATTCCATGTAGATTAGATCCATGTATGTCTTTCTTAGGGTCCTCTTTGTTGTCTAGGTTCTCTGGGATTGTGAATTGTAGACTGGTTTTTCTTTGCTTTTTGTCTAAAATCCACTTGTGAGTGAGTACATATGATAATGGTCTTTCTGTGTCTGGGTTACCTCACTCAATATGATGTTTTCTAGATCCATCCAAATTTCAAGATGTTATAATTTTTTTATGCTATATCATACTCCATTGTGTAAATATACCATGTTTTCTTTATCCATTCTTTGGTTGAGGAGTATTTTATGTTGTTTCTAGGTGCTGGCTATGACAAATAATGTTGCTATGAACATAATTGAGCACACCCTCTCCAGCATAAGTTGTTATCGGTGTTTTTGATCTTGGCCATAGAATTCAGCTCTTAATACCTAGGTCAGGCAGCTAACCTATAACCTATAACTCCAGGCCTAGGGGTCCAAATACCCTCCTCTTTCCTCCTTGGGCATTTGAAATCAAATTCATACACATGTACACACACACATACACACACAAACAATACATATATTTTAATTTGATCATTATTATTTTACTCAATTCATAACAATAAATGAAAATGTAAAATATAAACAAAAATATTTACAGTCAGTTAAAGATATACTAGCAATTAGAAGTGATTCTGGCTTGTCTACCTATCACACATGTATTTAATTCTTTAGTTGTATTAATTATAAAATATAAATAGAAGATATTACAAATTGAAAGTGCACTCAAAATGAAAATAGTACTAGTTTTAAGAATACATCATTTACATAGCTTTATCTGTTATCGTTGTAGCATGTTTGCTTGGTGACTTTTATTTCTACTCCAATATTCAGGTCCAGTTCCTCTGCCTTGATTTACATACACAGATTCACTTTTCCCATAAAAATTATATAGGATGAATTTTGCTTATTATAAGCATATTGAGATTGGGAGTCTCGTGAATTCACAGAGGTTGACATTTTATAAAAAGCGACACAATACAAACTAGAATCCAGTTAAATGATGTTTAATGTTTTCACCTTTTGTGATCCAGTTCAGAGTCAAGTCATTCATTTAGTTACCATGTGTTTTAAATATCCTTTAATCTGGAGCATTTTGATAGCTTGTGGGTCCTTTTATATCTAATAGCTTATATTTATTAAGACAGTGTCCATAATCTTGTTCATCACAATTTTCTCTTAGAGTATTTGTTACCAATTCTTCCTGAATTCGCTTGTCACCATGGTGGCTAGATTTCTGGCTCTTTCTCTGAATTCCTTGTTAGGTTTCACCACTCTGTTGATTGTGGGAGACCCACTAACATTGTGAAAGATTATGTTTATTAATGATCTGCTCAAAATTTCTTTTGTAGTGTTCTTTTAAAATATTGTCCAGTAGTATGATTTTGTATGTCAAATACAACTTTTTTACCTAAGAAGGGACTTTTGTTTCTGAGGTTAGTCGTTTCTTGGTGGTTCTTTTCTGGACAGGGTCCAGCCAGCACCGTATCTTGGATATAAACTGACCGGGTGAGATCTCCCTCTATTTAGACTGTGCACACTGAGGAGAAAAACTGTGGCCATCCTTTTCTTGCCCTACTGATAGAAATTACACATCAAAAGCCCTAAACTTTCCCTGGCTCCATTCTTTGCCACTTATTCTCTCTCTCTCTCTCTCTCTCTCTCTCTCTCTCTCTCTCTCTCTCTCTCCACTTGGCATCTCTCTCCCTGCCTCCTCTCCTCCCCCTCGTCATCCCTGTCTCTTCCTACATGTCCCTGTTTTTCGTTCCCTGTACCCGTCCCTTCTTCCCCCTTTCCTCTCCCAATGGTTGTTGTTTGATATGGAGTACTTCCTGCCTTTGGAATCTGTTATCTTCTTGTTTTCTCTGCCACTTCCCTGTTACTCTTATTTCTAGTTTATTGCTATGGTTAATTAGCTGAGTGCTAAAATTGCCCAAGATTTGACTATCTTGAGTGTCCTCCCTCCCCCACATTTTTTCCCCAGGCTCCTGGTTCCGGAGGCATGGCTTCATAACTGTTTTCAAAGCATGCCCTTATTTTCTGGTACATTTATTTTCTATAGCTCTTGATTTTTCTCTGTACTCTATCTAGCATTCAATTAACCATGTCATCAGAGTATCCTGGTTCTTTTAAATAGAAAATGTAACTACAACAACGATCTGAAATTTATAAATCATGAGTTTGTTCCAATTGTCTAACTTTGTAAATCTAGCTTTTATCTAGTACATTAACATGGATGTGAATTGACAGCCTACAGGATGGAGTAAATATTTACATATTATATTTTCTGAAGACTTCCCACATATCAAGGTGTATGTGTGGCTCTTAAACTGAGTAACAAAATACCAACTCTCAATTAAAAATTAATCTGAATAAACAATTCATTGAAGAAAATGTAAATATGGCCCATAAGTACACAGAGAAAAATGTTCTTCATCATTACATTGCAGGCAAATCCAAGACCAGACTACAGTGAGATAGTGCATTATACCCAGGAAGCTGTCTAGAGCTGATATGGGATAGTTGGTGTTGGCAGAGAAGTAGAATAATGGGAACATTACTGTGCTCCTGGAGGATGTATACTGGCGCTGGCACTTCACAAACAGCTTCCTCTTTCTTCAGTTGCATGTAGAGCTTCTGTGTTATCTGTGAAAGAGTAACGAAAGTGTAGATTCCTGCAAACATATATGTGGGCACATCTCCTCATGCATGCTGTAGTTGCTTGTGAAAGTAGAGGTCAGCTCGGGTGCATACAGGAATAATTTCACTTCTGAGTTATGTTTGAATAGCTTTGTTAAACATTGCATTTAAAATCTCTAGTTGAGATAAGTTACATGTGCCTACATCTTGCCTTACTGTGTACTAGCTAGTTTGTTGTGTGATCCAGAATAGCTCTGGGCGTCATATGTAGCATTTGCATAGACCCCAGCATACAAGTAAAAGGAACAGAGTATCTCTGTACAGCCAAGTTGTTCAAAGCACATATTTTTGATTTGTTAAGAGCTCATTAAATATTGTGTCAAAACTAGGTGTGAAAAATAGGATGTCAGCTCTCTGAATTCTTGGTGGTAAGGTTAGGAATACTATAGGTCAATTATGCTTCAGTGGATGGCCCCAGTACAGTAGTCTATGGACAGCACATTGGAGAGGGACAGCACAGAAGAGAGTTAATAGCTTGTTGGTAAAAAAATAACAAATAGAGGATGGAAAGTTGAGGGCACATCCCGAAGGAGCTAAAGGGAGGCGTTGGGAATAATTATGATCAAAATACATTCATTGTGTGTATTTCTCAAAGAAAACTATAAATTAAAGTGGTGATGACTAGAATATTGCTAGAAGTATTAGTTTTTATTCTTCACTCATTTGATTATCATTTCTTTTTGCAGATTCGAGTTTTCAGGCCACCCAACTACTCCGGCACCATTGCTCTGGCCCTGTTAGTATCGCTGGTTGGTGGCTTGCTCTATCTAAGGAGGAACAACTTGGAGTTTATCTATAACAAGACTGGTTGGGCCATGGTATCTCTGGTATGTTATCACATATCCTGCTGCCTCTGTTCCTTGTGAAATTGTGTTTTATAGTAACAGAAAGAGTCAGATTGTTATTGCAGTGAAAAATAACCCAAATGAAATGGCATGTTACTTTTATAAGTAAAATAGATTAAATTTAGTATTCAGCTTAAACTATGTATATGGTTTCTTCCATTTTTTACTATTAAAATGTAGTGACTGTAGTATGTGACACATTCTAAATGTTAGTGAAATGTATCTTGAGTATGTCTCTAAGTATGGTAATGAATTAATAAGAATTAGCAGTTTGGACTAATTTGTTAGCTATAGAGATTTGGATGTTCAGTTTCCCCCAGCGGTTGTTCTTCTACCTCCACTGTACACTTGTCTTACTTGTTACACTTGTTACTGGTTATAGAACGATGAGACACAGACCTTTCTGTAATGAACCAGCTGTGGGGCTACAAACTGGTAAACACACACGTACAGTGCAAAGTTGAATAGGCTGTTTTGGAATACACAGGGAAGGTGCCATCCGGAAGGGAAGGGAAAATTGGACAGGCAGCCTAAAGTGAGACAGCAGCTGAATTTTGAAGAGCAATGGAATTCTGAAGTAGTTATGGACAATGATGGGCAGAACAAGATAAAAGTGAACTGTCGTGTGCAGTGTCATGGCAGTGGGGAGCACAGAAGGCGTTCTAGGCATACACCGTGGGATTAAACTGATGTTAGGACGTTACACTTCCAGCAGTGGGCAGTGACTGAGAGCGCCTCTGAAAGGTGGGTGATGGGTCCAGGCCATGTTAAGACCAATCCAGAGGGCTAGAGAGATGGCTCAGTGGTTAAGAGCATTGTCTGCTCTTCCAAAGGTCCTGAGTTCAATTCCCAGCAACCACATGGTGGCTCACAACCATCTGTAATGAAGTCTGGTCTTCTCTTCTGACCTGCAGGCATACACACAGACAGAATGTTGTATACATAATAAATAAATAAATATATTTTTTTAAAAAGACTAATCCAGAGAATGTGCTCTTACCTCATGTTCTACAAAGCTGGATTTTTGTCTTTACCTAAAATCATCCTTTTTATTATTTTTAAAAATAATTAGCTAATAAAGGGGCCAACCAGATTGTTTGGTGGTAGAGGCTCTTGCTGCTGACATTGTCTACCTACTTGAGTCTTCAGAGTCGGTGTGTAGAATGAGGGTGACAGCTGCAGCTTGTCCTCCGACCTCTACATGCTCTGACACTGTGTCCCCTAAAGAATAAGCATAAGATATTAAGAATTAGTGCAATAAAATGCAAAACGCCTTGAAAAGTGGTGTGATTACTATTTAAGACTTCAGTTGAAATATTAGTATTAAATTATAGATTACAAGGATGGAGAGATGACTCAGTGGTGAAGTAACACTGCTTAATCTCCAGAGGTCTTGAATTCAATTCCCAGTACCCATATGGCATCTCACAACCATCTATAACTGTGGTCTACAACTGCCTTTTGGGATCTGATGCCCTCTTCTGGTGGGCATATGTATCTGCAGACAAATCACTGAAGATAAAATAAATAAATAAGTATTTTAAAAAACAAAATTCTCCTCTTCAAAAAGTGTACATTATAAATAGAGACTCAAAATTTGTATTACAGAAGTAGGCTTAAACTATTACTGGAAAAATAGAAATATTTCCAAATATATGAAGAATTATTAAATTTTCATTTTTCAGTTAATTTGAAATATATGCTAGGAAAGCAAAATTTGTAACACTGGTTTAAGGAATTGTCTGATGTCTTATATATATGTATGTCTGCATATGATAGGAGTAGCAGATAAAGGCTAACTTGGTCCCGGCTCACGCACTGTTCCTATGTCTTAAGTTGTTCAGTATCATATTTAAGTTGATGGGGATTAGCTTAAGATGCATGTTGTAATCTTCAGAGGAATAGCTGGGAAAAAAGACAGAGATACCGTTAAAAACTCAAGGTATGGGTTAAAGTGGAAACTACTATAATTAGCACAGAGGTAGATATGGAAACAACACAGGGAGAAAGCCATGTGACATAAAAAAATGAGAGACTTAAGTTCAGTCACATCAATGTGTTCATTGCATTACGTGCGAACTTGTTTAACATGTATTGATGAAGCAGAGGTTGCCAGACTGGATCCGTTAATGCTGTAGTGATGGAGGAAGGTCATTGGCTAATAAAGGAACTGCCTTGGCCCATTTTATTGGTTAGAAGATAGGTGGGAGGAGTAAACAGAACAGAACGCTGGGAGGAAGAGGAAGTGAGCTCAGACTCCACAGCTCTCCTTTCGGGAACAGATGCCTCAGAGAGATGCCATGCTAAGCTCTCCTGGGCAGACGCACGTGATGAAGCAAGCCGCCAAGTTAGACATCCTGAACCTTTCCCGGTAAGACCGGAGCTCACAGATTATTAGAGATGGGTTGATCGGGATGTGAGAATTAGCCTGTAAGGGCTAGAGCTGAAGGGCCAAGCAGTGTTTAAAAGAATACAGTTTGTGTGTTGTTATTTCGGAGCATAAGCTAGCCAGGCTGCCGGGGTCCTGGGGATGCAGCCCCGCCGCTCATATTACTACACTGTAGCAAACTGGCCTGGATGCTACCAGGCCAGTGTATTCAGGAGCATGAGGTTTAGTATTGCATATCATATTTCTTCATGTTTAAATGACCTTGTTAGAAGAAATAACAAAGCTGGTTCTAAAGTTCATATAGAAAAGCAAAAGCTTTGGAATATTGAGGTAATTTTTCTAAAAGAAGAAAATCAGAGGCCTCAAATGATTTTGTCTTACCTAAGGCTGTTGTGATTAGAGTAGCGTGGAACCGGCCTGTGACTTCACACCTAGCCATGCTGGTAAGCTTTCAACTGAAGAAAATGTAGGAAGCTGTGTGAACACCCTTCTTTCTTCTGCACAGCTCTCTATAATTCCTTCTATGTTCGTGCAGCCAGGTCTCATGGTGTCTTTAAGAGAGAATGGGACCTTACTCATTCCATCATGAGGATGGATAGGAAATTTCTTCCTGTTTAGGGATAGACTAAAAATCCTGAATATCAGCAGGAAACACTCATGGCTTACGGTATGAGCATGAGTGTACTCCAGGATTCAAGGTTGGATTAAAAATGTAAAACTACAAATAAAAAAAAAGAAGAAGAAGAAGTGCTGGGAACTCTGACTGGTTTTGGCCCTGTTGTCAGAGGACTATGAGAATGGCTTGTGTTGTTTCCCACTGTTTTTAGAATTCAGTTTTTAGGTTTTTCCATATAATCTAGTATGCAAACTTGACTAGGAATGTGGAGTTAAAGGAGCAGACAGATCTAAAATTTTGCATGTACAATCTAAGCATTGCTGGTGGCATGTGCTTTCAGTCCTTAGGACCAGTTTCTGAAGTGCCCATGAGCTCCTCAGAGTCTGTCATAATTTCAGTAGCACTCCCTAGAATGTCTAAAGGATGCATTTTGCTGTTCATGAGCTGCGTCCCGCTCAGTTACTTCCATCTGCACATGCTAGTTCATTGAGTTTCTGGTTGTCACATCTATTAAGGCTGGGAACAGAGCTGTAGCAGCCTCTACTCACTTACTGAGCCTGTGTGAGGTAGCATTGCTGTGTGAGTACCAGATAAGGAAGAAGGCAAATCCAGCTCGGGCTGGATCAGCAGAGCAGCAGAGCAGCTGGTCTTAAGCCCTACAAAAGGGAAATGCATTTTGGGGGTGGGGTGGTTAGGCAGTGTTTAGGAGGGAAAAAGTCTTGAATGAGAGTGGAAGAAGTTACTCAGCTAAGGTGTCTCAGCCAGGTCTCGTGATAATGTTTCCATGGGACTGATAAATGCCTTATCTGAGGTCCCTAAATGACCAAGAATACTCATGTAAGCGTGGGTGGGTTAGTATTGTCATCCTTGAATCCTTGACTCAACTTTCTCCAGGACATTTGATAGAGTAACTGTATACCAAGTATAGCATAGGAGAGGCATTCTACCGTTCTCCACTGCTGTGAGCCCTTTCGATTACTTACCTTAACCTTGAAAGATGAACACACAGGGTTTTCTATGAACTCTTCAAATATTAAACAGAGAAAGCTAAGATGACTAGAAGGCAAATGGAATTTAAGACATATAGAAAATAATTGACTTATTATTTCATAATAAATAAATGCAGATGAAGAGTTTAAGCCTTTGGCTAAGGATGCATATAGCTTGAAAGTAAAAGACTTATAGGGTCTGTATGTAGATGGTAATTAAATGAGAGCAAGAGTGCCTATACTTAACATATAAAATGCAGAAGAAAGACGGGTGTTATATAACAAAAGGAGCCAATTCACTAATGCTTCTGTAAGGTATGTTCACAGCTTTGGAGGATTTAAGTACAGAAAAGAAACGTTAGTAGGAGTAAGGGAAGAAATAGTCAGCCTCCCTTAGGGCATTTCAGTTCCCTGCTTTTAACAATGGAGAAATCAACCACACAGAAGACTATTAAGGAAACAGCTGATGTGAGGAACACTATAGAACAAAAGAACTCAAGAGACGTAAACAGGAAACACTTTGCAGCAGCTGCAGAATACAGATTATTCTCAAGTACGCAGAAGACTTTTTCTTGGATAGGTTGTATATTGGAATACAAAATTAGGTCTTAATAAATTTAGTAATACAGAAATCATATTAAGTATTTTTTCTGACAACATTGGTGTGAAACTAGCAGTCAGAAAAATCAGAAAATTTACAAATATTTGCAAATTAGCAAACTTCTGAACAATTACTGATCAAAGAAGGAGATTAAAAAACGAAAATGTAAACTCAAATGGTCAGAGGGAGACTGGAAGGAGAGAATAATGTAATTTTATTTTAATTAAAAGCAAGTGCAGCATAGCCAAACCTTTACAGCACAGCAGAACCCTTTTAGAGTTAACTTACAGCAAGTCACAAGAAAGCCAGAGCTTGCGATGAACAGCCTACTGTAAAGAAAAAGGATAGAGGAAAGCCAGAATTCACAAAAGACAAAATCAGATTTCA